TTTCTGAAACCCGGGAGCTCGCCCGGGCAGCCTGTGAGGAGAACAGCACCGAGGCGGCGAGCTCGGGCACTCGGAGGATGAGAAAAGCCAGAATTAAGGCTGAGACAGGCCCCTATGGATGTGCGTGACGGCGTGGTCTTTACAGGACGTGTGTTGCCTTTCCCCATGGCCTTTGGCACCGGGAACAAAAGCAGGCTCTAAGCTGTAAACCCCACACCTTGGTGGCAGCAGCCTCTGCTGAAAGGGGTGGGGTAGACAGAAGGGCCCTCTCGGCCCGGGAGCTGGGTGCTGCCTGGGGGTAACACGTTTTTCACTGGCTGTTACCCACGGAGTTGTGCACATCACAGGGCAAGTCACTTTTACCCTGAACTTTCACAGGCTGCGAAGTATAGTGCTCCCCGGTTTTAAGTGCTTGGCTCGGAGGCGCTGAGGATTCCCAGTGACCCCCGAAGCCAGGATGAGCTATGCTACAGTCAAATAACGCGCCGGTTTGGATAAACTTCCCCGGAAAGTCTGGGCGCCCAAAGAGAATATTTGACTTGCAACTCCTGTATTTTGTTTCTTTTTCTGTCGTGTGTAGGGATCCCAGCTTCCTTTCCCACACGGAGGTTGAGCGAGGCGGGTGAAGCCGTCGGCCCGTCCTCCCGCTGGGCATCCTGAAAGCACCAAGGAGCCACAGAGCCCAGAGGGAGAGCGGGGGGGGAGCACAGCGGCCGGAGCCGTGCGGCCAGCGATGGAGAAGGGAGGAGAGGGAGGGAGGTCGTCCCTGCCCCATCCCACGCAGGACAGGCATCTCCCACCCTGTGCCCTGGGCAAGGTAGTAGTCCCGTGGGAAAACCGGTGGGGGATAACTGTGAGCGAGGGCTGCTCCCGGCGCTTACGTGCAGGCGGGCTTAATTAATTCTGGCGTTTCGTAACTTTTTTGGTGCTTGACTTTGCAACCTTGCTTGCATTGCGTTGATGTGGGGAGAGGGGTGTGCGTATGCGAATGAGTGAAAGTAGCATCACCGTTTTGATTAGAACAAGGTTTTTCTATCAGGTACAGACGCATGTCTGACTTGATACCTGTTTGTTTCTAAGCGATGTGAAGTGAAGGCCCACTCAGTTTCAGCACACTTCTGGGGGCCCGGGCTTTTAATAGTGTGTAATATTTCTGGAAACAGATGAGAGCTAATATATTGTGTTTAAATCTGGGATGAGTTGTTGACCAGCTGTGGTCTATGTGCAGAGATATCAAATGCTTTTCTTTGGATAATGGCAGTTCCAGCCTGCAACCCACATGTGGGTCAGAGGCAGAACTGAAGACCAGCAAAAATAACCCATTTAATTTCACGAAGCCATGCCTCTCCTGCAGAGTGTTCGGTGCAGTTGTCCTCTAACGATTTAAATACTTCAGAAAGTTCTGGGTGAGCTGGCTCCTCTTTCAGTGTTGCACATCGGTCGATGCCGGTGGGAGGTTTCTGCCCTTCTGTCTGCACCGGAGAGGTAAATTAGTTAAGCAGAGGCACGAATTATTTGCATGCAGCTGAGGTGGCGAATGTGTTATCTTAACAGCAGAAAAGGAAATGGTTCTCTATAGATTATTAGTTACTGAAAAAGCAAAGGCATGTCTTTTGTTGCCACCACACCACTGGTCTGACTGTTGAGTAGATACGGATCAATATCCCCCCTTCCTCCTCACCCCCCTCGCTCTTCACATTTTCACTTAGACCGAGGTGAAGAGGTTTCACTTTAATTTATGTCATTCTTGTATTGCCAAATGGCATGCCAGAGCAACCGAACCAGGCGTGATCTGACTCTCTGTTGTGTGCTCTCACATGCAATCCCCTCGTGGGAAAATGCTGAGAGAAAATGGAAATTTAAGCTCTGCACCTAGCCACTGTGGTTTTTTGGGTTTTTAATAGTGCTTCGTTTGTCAGGTCCTTGGGGCAGAGAGAGTTTTTGTTGCGTTCAGGGCAGTCATAACCTGTAAGTGAGGACTTCTAAATATTACGGTATTGCAGATAGTACTATAAGCAACTTGTCCTCTCGACGAACAACAACAATACATGCTGTTACATATTGGAGGACCTCAACACAAGGTACAAATATTAGTCTTGCACCACAACTTGCACAAGTCCTGTGCCTACTCTACAAATGAGTTGGGCGTTGTATGGGAAGGTCAACTGACTTGTTCCGGGCCTTGCTACCAGTTAGTGGAAGTACCAAAACCAGAACCCAGCTGTCTCGGCTCCTGGGTCCTTGTCCTCGCTGCAAAACTTAGCTCTGGCCTTGAGGTCCTTGAAGTACTGATATTTCTAGATTAAAAAAAAAAAAAAAAAAAAAAAAAAGCAAAAAAAAAAAAGCGCCTGTCTTTAAATCACCATTGTTAGGTAAGCTTAAACTTGGAACATTGCCCTGTGTAGGTGCACATCGCTGCCTTAGTGTTTAGACGGATCTAAGCAATTACATTGAAAATTATTTAAAAAGAAAAAAAAAAAAAAAGCATTAGGAATGGCATCAACAGACATTCCCAGACTTAAATACCCTAAATCTGGGGAAAATGAGAACCTGTAACTGAACTCTGGTTGGGTCTATCCCCGAATATATTTTTGGAGACTAGCAATGGGGTTGAGGTGTTCCCTTGTAGCTAATGGGCGCAGAGGGAGGTGGCATCCAGACCAGCAGCAAAGGACTGAGATTTTAGGCTGTTCATATCTAACAAGGCTCTTTCAGAGCATCTGGCAAGGGTGCGTGCTGCTTCAGGAGAATAGGATTGATGGTCAGGGAGAGCCCGTGTTTTCCGACCGCCTTAATTTGGTCAAGTAGGTGCGATTTTGAAGGAAATCAGAGAGCACAGTGCCTCCAGTATGGTCTGCACCCTTCGCTCCTCAGCCTGCCTCTCTGTTGGGTGCTCACTAGCAGAGCAAGGATAACCCTGCCCTAGGCAGCAGGAGGGCCCCGTGGCACATCGCCCCCGGGCCGCTCGCCCATGGCAGGGCAGAGGGAGCTGTACCTGCAGCCACTGTTCCACCACATCTCCTGGGCTCCTTTTTGAGCTCAAGCAAGACAAGTGACTGTGCAGGAAACAACACAGTCATTCCTGAATTTAGTATCGGGCGCGGGGAGGGGGGGGGAATGGAATTAAAAACCTCAAGCAGATCTGAGGGAGGGAGGAAATCTGCACATCGCTCTTAGTTGCTATGTAGGTCATAACTTCATTTGAGAAGCACTCGGGTATTTTACGAACGAGGCTCCCGAAGAATTGCGGCGTGCGGCACCCAAGGAGGCCAAGGGGAACCCGGGTGTCCCAGGGGAGCTGCGCTGAACTCCTCCCGAATGGCTCCAGATTGTGTGTGTGCGTGGGGGGTGTGGGGGGGTGTGTGTGTGTGTGTTGCATTTTTCTGTAGATCTCGGCAGCAGCTGCTCAGGCTGCCGTGGGGTCGCTCTCTGCAGGGAGCAGGCTTTCCTCGAGGGGTGGTGATGGAACACGGCGGGGGCTGCTGCCGTGGGGCCGATAGCCGCACAGGACCCCCCCCAACCACCACCACCCCCAGGCGGGGGGGGGGGGGGCGCAGGGATGGAGGACGTGGGGCACAGCTTGGGGACAGCCGGACGGGCAGCGGTGTGCTGGCCTAAAAGCCGGGTGTTTTGAGCGAACAGACGTAAAGAGAGCAGCCCTCGTTTGGCAATCAGCTGCCCGGCTGGGCGCAGGGATTATGCTGAGGCTTCGGAGCCGGGCTAGAGCTGCTTCCCAAGGGCCGTGGGAGGGCCTGCCCTGCCCTTCCCTTGCTGCCCTCTCTAACCACGGGCACAATTTTGGTCAGCGGCCCGCAGCCGGGTTTGCTCAGGGCCAGCCCGGGGAGGAATGGGGACGGGCAGGCACCTCCTGCAGCTGCCCAGTTTGCAGCCGGGCCCCCAGAGCTGGGGCATGGGTGTGAGGGGCTGGGGAGAGGGTGGTGCAGGTTTTGAGGGCGGTGGGGATGTAGGAAAAGAGCCCCAGCCCCCGGGGTCCGGGGCGGTGCCGCGGTGGCGGCTCTCGAGGCGGCTCAATCGCTCCGCTGACCGGAGCACGAGGGTTTTGGCAGATTGGGATGCTCTGGTGAGAAAAAGCCCTCTGGTCGTCACCTCACTCGCTTTCCTGTGCTTAAAGTGTATTTTCTCAGTTTGCAGTGTCAGGGAGCCGGGCGCACCGTGAAGCTATTTGGATTCTGCGTTGATAAGGCGAGTGCAAACTGTCCCCGCAGCTCTCGAGAGCAGAATCAAACTGAAACTTGCCACTCAGAGTAGAAAGCACATAACACCCACAGCTACAGACATGCACAAATTGCTGCAATATAGGTTAGAAAAGGAGCCCTGTTCTGCACCCTCTGGTCTCATGAAAAGCACACAGGCACACGCACGCACACACACAGAATCTTCTCTGAATGACTACAAGCACCAGCGCGTGTTCCCTCCTTAACACCCAACTAACTTGTAACGGCTTATTAAAAAGGCAAATTTTCACTTTTCATGTATCCTTGCTCCCTTTTCGCACCTGGTTGCAGTTTCTACAACATTTTTAACTTTCTTTTTTTTTTTTTTTTTTTTTATGACCGGTTGTGAGTAAAGTGAGACCTCTCGAGGACACCACCCAGCCTGGTTTACCGGGTCCCTGCCTGAGGACACGGCCCCAGCGTGGCCAGAAGAAACCGAACCTTCCCCGCTTACCAAAGAATTTCTCCACGGGGCTTTGAGGCTGACAAGAAGAGCAGATCTTGCCTGGAAAGACGCACAGAACCTGTCCTTTAAAAAAAGGGCCATCTGAATATACAAGGTAGACTAAGAACGGAGGAAAGCAAACGTTTCCTGCGGTTTACAGAGGGACAGTCCTCACGGAGAAAGTTTTGCCACTGGAAGGCTGTAGGAAAGTTGGGAACCGAGACTATAGTATCCAAGAAATCCCTATGGACTGCTGCCTGCCGCGCTCCTCTTCCTGCCCAAAAGCTGCTTTCCACTTTGCTCATGTAAGTTAGGATTTACCGTGTAAAACTCAACTGGTTAAAGGCAGGAACGTTGGGGTCTCTCTAACCCTAAGCCTGGTACCACGTTGTGACGGCTGAGTCCTCAGCATGGGCGAAGTGGGAAAGAGATTTTTCAGCCTTTGAGTGTGCTGTGCGTGGTTTCAATATTGCAGGAATCGCTTCTCTTCCCAGCACGGTGCAGCCACTTTGGGGCAGGAATGCTGTAAGGAATCTCACTCGGTCCTTGGATAAGGAAATGATCAAGGACTTGCCTATTCACAATTAATGGAGAAAAAAAAAAAAAAAAAAAAAAGAGCTGAGGGCCTTTATTAATTATTGCACAATAAGGAAGTCATACTGGTTTGGCTCCTTTCAAGAGGGCTCTTTGGTCACACCTACCTAAGTGGTTTGGCATCCCAACCATCTCCCCGCGCACGGCCAGGGAGGAGGAGGAGGAGGAGGAGGAGGAGGAGGAGGGAAGGGCCCTGACGCCCGCCCGTGTGCCACCGCGGTGCCTGGCCCCCGGCTCGCGGGACGGGGGGAGCTCCCAGTGCCCGTCTCCCTGTCCCGGAGGACCGGGCATCTCTTTTTAGAGATCTCTGCCCCACGCACACACCGGGACCAGCCGGCCCCATGCTCCGGGCGCAGGTTTCCACCCTGAGCCCCGGCAGCAAAAAGGAGCAGAAATTCAAGCGTGCCCTGTGCCGGAGTTTCCCCCCTGCCAGCTGCGGGGGGTCCCTGCTTGGCTGTGGGGAGAGGGTCCTCCCAGGGGTGCTGCCACCCGCCCGGTGACCCTGCCCGCTGCTGGGCTTGTGCCCCGGGGCCCCGGCTTGCCTCTCGCGGCAGCCCGTCTGTGTAACCCCCCAGCTCCAGAGAGCAGCCTGCGGCCAGATGTGACGGCTGGCGGGTGCCTCTGAGGTGCCAGGGGACGGATGTCCAGGCGCTGGGCTTTAGCCGGCGCACGGGGTTGTACCCTGTGCCCTCGGAGAGGGGGCCGGGAGGGGGGGGCGGAATTTTATAGCGAGTGGTAGGAGGACACCGGCACGGGATGAGCGACAACGCTTCAGGAGCCCAGGCGACATCGCGGGTGCCTTTCCTAGGTGAGCTTGTGCAGGCTGGAGTTTGCAGAGCTGAGCGGCCCGAGCCCGCTGAGAGCAAGTGCTGCCCGGAGGCGGGAAGCATCGTCTAATCCTCCCCGCGCTGGGTTGTCCTGCACAGAGCACCCTTCGGCTTGTGCCAAGCTGCAGCGCTGCCACAGTGGAGGTAAGGAGGCTTGTCTTGGAAGCAGAAGGTGCTGTCTGCTTGTGTGTGTCTCGGAGCGATCGACATCTGACCCCTCTAGCACGGGACAGGAGTACGACCTGGCAGCCGAAGTAAGCGCGGAGGCAGCAGGGGCTCGGCGAGGAGCGGCGGCTCCTCTCCCCCTTCGGCCACCGCTATGAACTGCCAGGAAATCCTCCCCGGCCTCTTGTAAAAGCGAGCGAAAGCAGAGTCACGCAGCGTGGTGGCAGCTCTCGGGCCTCCTGGCAGCCGCCGAGATCCTTTCGCAGCGTCCGACGGAAAAAAAAAAAAAAAATCAAACAGCCCTGGTTTTGGGAAGCGTCGCAGCTTTGACGGAAGGTGGTGTTTTCCCGCTGCTCACGCGGGAGCGGTTAGTGCTGAAGCCGCCAAAATTTCCACCTGTGCCCGCCACCTCCCAGCGCGGGCAGCTGCCTTTTCCCCGCGCAGAGGAGGGAGCCCTCCGGCCAGCAGCTGCCTCAACACCGTCGGTGAGTTTTTCTTCGGGCCACCACGGCCGGCTCGTGTTTTGCAGACGCCTGCCCCGTGACGGGCGCGTTCCTCAGCCTCACCGCATCCACTCAGCCCCGGCTCACGCGGTAATTAGCCGAGTGTTTCCTGGCTGCCTTTAATTACAGCCACAGCTATTTCCCTCGCGCTAACGTGAAGCCTCCGAACGACAGCAAAGGTTTTGGGCAGCACCGAGCGCCGTCCCGGCACGTGTTGGGATGCAGTCGTGCACCGGCTCATACCCCCCTCAGTGAGTCACGCTTTTAGCTTTTGGCCTACGCGGTCGTAATTGCCGACGCCGGGAATTAGCGGTGTCTCCCCCGGCACCCAGCTGAGAGACGCCCGGGCTTTATAAACCAGCCCAGAAGGGCCGGATCCTCCTTCAAGCCGCGTCTGAGCCTCCTCCCAGCTGCAACTCGCCCCGTCCGGCGGCGAAGCAGCTCCGCTGGCAAACCCGGGGAAGGGAAGCGCGCGCGCCGCTTTCCCCGGCCACCCCACGCGTGGTTCCCCCCCCCCCCCCCCCCCACTTCCACTCGCAGGGCCGTGGTTTGCCGGGCAATTCCCCCCCGGCCCCGTAGCTCCGGTCGCAATCCGCGGCCCCGGCGGCTTCGGGGCCTTGGGAGGGGGGGCTGCCGGGAATCAGAGGGCAGCAGCTGCCGCCGGGCTCGGCCTGGCGAGGCTGTGATCTATAACGTGCATTGTCTTTTTATGTAATGCGTTTTATTAAACATCTTCTAAAGCTTGCAAGTGTCCCCAGGACATAACTCTGCAGCGCAGCGCAACGCTTTGCCAAGTAATGAAGTATGATTTATGGCGGTAACGGTTATCCAATGTTTTTTTTAAAAAGGAATTATTACAGCAATAGCTCTGTCGAATATAGGAATATAACATGCTGCATTTGGCACGTTTATGACAACAGTGCTCTGGTTTTCTTAACTCCACAGTTCGGTGTTGGCAGTATTTCAAATTCTCGAGACAGATGTTTAAATGAATTTTTTAGGAGGACAGTGAAATACTTTTAAAACCTCGTAGGGCGCTGAGTGTCTCAATATGAGCAGGAACATTATTTCTTTAACGGGCAGGTAGGGCAGGGCAGCACATGGCCTCTCTGGTTTAGATCTCACGGTAAATGATGGAAGTAGCAAATGTTGAATTAGCTTTTGGGGGGCATCCTGGCCTGTTGTTACTTTTTTGGCTGGGAGGGGGGGGAGGAACGGCCACTTGACCTTCTCCAGGATTCGGTTCGCATTCGCGGCTCCTTTGTGAGCCGTGAAAACGGCTCCACATTTGTTTTGAATGCAGTTCCCCCCGCGCTGATACAGGACTAAGTGGTCTCACGCTGACATTCTGAGTGTGTCATTGTGGTCCCAGTGGTTAGGGTTTCGGGCCAGAAATGACAATCATTTGGAAAAATGTAAACGAGAACCCCCGTCACATATCTGCGGGGCAGATAGCATTCGAGTATTTCCACCGAAAGACTGCAAATTCCATTTTTTTTTTTTTTTTTTTTTTTTGGTTAAGGTATTGCCCTTTGTGGCTGGGAGGGGAAGGCGCCCCGCAACGCGCCTGCGCCGGCAGTGGGTGCAGAGAGATTGAAGACAAGGGAAGCATCAGTAAAGCAATGAACACTTGTATTTAATTTACATTTGACAATTTGCACATAAATAATGATGTAAACCAATACGTAAACATATGATAGTTTGTTTTTCTAGCAAAGTAAAAAGCCTGTTAACTTTGGTCAGAGTCTTTCGTAAGAGAGACAAAAAAAAAAAAAAAAAACATCCCAAAACACTGTTGATTGTTGCTACATTCACATGTAAAACTTCTAAGGGAAGGGGGAAACAGTAAAGAGAAATAACAATTCTTAAAGCTGATGCATATAAATTCTTGTAAAATTTGTATCAAATACAAGAAAGCACTACAGGCAAATAACAGGAAAAGTGTGTGTCCAGTGACAGAGTAGTGATACTTTGGTTTATCCTACAAGTAAGTACTATAGTTATGAACTATTGCTACATTTAAAAGATGTCAGCCACAATCTGCAGGAGTGGAAATGTAATGAACTGTAGTCCTTCAAAAGCTGTGTCGAGAGACTTGTATTTCAGGATCATTTGCTTTTTTAACAGAAGGCATTAAAATGAAGTTTGCTGGGAGAAAAGCAAAAACAAAAACAAACAAACAAAAAAAAAAAACAAGAAAAAAAAAAAAAAAAAAAAAACCCAAATCACCGCATCCCGGATTGCTGAAGCGGGCTACCTTGAAATTTGTAAGAATCTCACCAGCCGAAAAGATACAGGTGGAGGGGAGGTGTGTGATAACGCTGCTGGACTCGCGCGAGCTGACGGGGCAACTCGCTCGCGGCGGGGCAGAGGGGGACGAGGGGCTCGTCCCGGCTGCCTTCCCCCCGGCCCTGCCCGCCGCCCGCGGGTCCCTGTTCGGCTTCGGGCCCTTCCCCTTACGGTTCCCGGGGGTTCCTGGCTGCTCCCGGAGCAACCCGGCTCCTAACGGGGTCGTTCCCGGCGCCGGGGGCTCGGGGAGCCGCGCCCGCCCGCCCGCCCGCCTGTGTGGCGCAAGCGAGGAATGCCTTGGTACAACCTTCTGGTTCTGAGGTCACTGGTAACATGCGAAACTGGATAACATCTGATTTTCAGGCTTCGATGAAAAATAGGTTTTATTACACGGTTTGGCTCACAACTTAAGTGGTATAAATATATATACATAGACATATATAGTATAATGGTATAAATATATCTATAAATATACATGTATTCTTTGCTACACCTCAAACATCACCGTATCATCTTTGGGCTTAGCAAAACAAAAAAGATAAAAGGATGTGCATTCTGTCTTTCCCTGTGCACATTTTGGTTTCTTCTCTAAAGTAGCAAAGCATTTAGATAAAACAGCATTGTCTGCACCACTGGACACAAGCACTGAGGTAATTGTTGTTCAACAACTTTGCAATGCCCTTTTCTTCTTTAATTAAATTAACCACAAAATGTACAAACACAAATACTGAGAAAAATATGAGTCGTACAGGAAGGAGGAAAAAAAAAAAAAAAATGTATGTGCCAGGAAAGGACTTTGTTCCCCACTTCTACCCAAGCAAAGTGGGAGAAGAAAACACAAGTAAAACTGAACCCCTTCTTTCTCAGGGAATCTGACCATTTTTTTTTTTTTTTTTTTTTTTTGTATATCCCTGGAAGGCTCTGGCCAAAAAAAAAAAAAAAAAAGAAGAAAGAAGTCTGCCACAAACCCCTCCTTGTAGGCAGAATATTAAGAATATTTCTGTGTTTGCTTTTAAACTGCTTTTGGAAACAAAAGAATGTAAGTGATATTTTATTTTGGAAGAGCCGCTTGAGGCTGATACGCATTCCTTTGGTCACGACGTTCCATGACTGTGTGTGGGGCGAGAGCTGTTTTCTAAAAACCTGTGGTATTGTCCACGGCAGGGAGGTGTGTGCTGTGCCACATCTGCTCGGGGTAGCGCTGCAGGGAGAAGACTCTCTCTCCTGTCCTCGGAGGGGCAGGAGTAGCAGTTTCTTCCCCGCTCGCTGCTACTCTGGGTTTTGTTTTTTTTTTTTTTTTTTTTCTCCTTTTTCAGTTCCCAGGGGGGTGATTTGCACATAAAAGTACACGGCATTTTTTTTTTCAAACCAACGGATCTAGGATTCTGTATGTCAAATGTCCAACTTTGGCAAGATGATGAAAAACCGCATTTGTTTAAAAGCCATTGGTACATAAAACACATTTACTGAAACCCCAATCTTAGGTTCTTAAAACAGATGTGCAGAAAAAAAATATCTACAAAGAATGGCCATAAAACGAAAAATAAAAACATTTAAAGTAAAAATTACAATGAATTTTCCAGTCATTGTAAACATTTTCCTAATTATTGCTTTTAGAATGATTAATTGCATAATAAATTATGAAGTACTATCATTGAAAAAATAATTATGGATAGATGATTGTCTTTTAGTAACTGGCGAGGCAATGCACAGTCCTTTGCCCCTTTTTATGCCCTGAGAAAACAGTAACTTTGGAGTTCCTTCTTTCAGCTGGAGAGCGTAGGGAAACTACTGTAAGCCAAGATTGCTTCGCAGCATTGAAACTATGTACAAGCAACTGCTACAGGCACCCTGACTTGCCAAGTCATAAATTAAAAAAAAAAAAAAAAAAAAAAAAAAAATCACTTTGCCAAAAAGTCTTAAGGGTCCATTGGTTCAACTGTTTCTTGCTTGACCTTTACAGGTAACAGAGGTAGTGGGTGACCATGAGGCAACTTCATAATTGACATATCCGACGACTCGTAAAGGTTGCACCCTGAGGAGAGAAGTCCGTTTCCCAGGTTCCTCTGCAGAGACACCTTCAGATTAGCCCCTTCCATCTCCCTCCTGAGCACGGTCAGTATATCCTTCTCCACCACCGACGTTAAGTCGATATTGTCCTCCACTTCTTCCAGCTTGTCGGCATTGTCGCTGATGTCGAACTTCTCGATCTCCTCGTTGATTCGGTTCAGGTCCTCCATGGAGAGGCCGGAGGCAGGGGCGACGGGGCAGTTGCCCTTCAGGTGGACCTGGAGGCTGCAGAGGTGAATGTAGCTCTTGTGGCAGTGGATGCATTTGTGGGGACGTTCCCGGGTGTGGAGACGCTTGTGCAGCTTCAGGTGCACAAACTGGGTGAATTTGGCAGGGCAGAGCTTGCACTGGTAAGGCTTCTCTCCAGAGTGGAGCCGCAGGTGGGTTTTGAGATTGCTGGTGCTGCTGAACCGCTTGTGACAAACCTAATTGGGGCGAGGGGGGGGGTGGGGGGTGGCAGAGAGACAGTGAATGAGCGGGAGGGGATTTCACGGTTTGAATCGCAGACACCTAGGAGGAGATGGCAGGGGGAAGCAGCAGCTTTATGATATCTTCACACTCCCTCGCAAAGGCACGAGAATCCCTGCCTTTTTTTATCTAAATATTGATGAGTGGCGTTTCAAGTACGGCCGGGTGGTGAAGACGGGTGGGGCAGAGGTTGCTCTCGTGGGCCGAAGGGAACGCTGGCCCCTCGCAGACATCGCTGCGCCGGGGCAGGGAACGGCTCCGACAGGGACTGCAGCCCCCCCCCCCCCCCCAACCACCACCCCGGCCCCTTCGGCCTCCAAGGGAAGCCGTGGCTGTGGTGTGTCACGTACCTGACACTCGTGGGGTTTCTCTCCCGTGTGTACCAGATAGTGCTTCTGGAGGTGAGCCAGCTGCGTGAAGCCTTTATTGCAAGTCTGGCATTTGAAAGGCCTCTCGCCGCTGTGTACTCGGAGGTGCACCTGGGGAGAAACAAAGCAATTAACAATTTGCAGTTCCCAGTGCTGCAAGGAAAGTACTTTCAGATGTTTCCTAAAGTGAGCGGAAGGCTCCCATCGCCTAAATACAATCTTATCTAGTTAATTAGGTGGCGTCAGTATTAAAGCACTGTCTTTACAACCCCGCTTCCTCGCTGGGGGGTGCTGTATTAAGCCCAGACTGACGGACAGCTTCACCAGCGAGGGACGCCTGCCCCTGCTTTTTTTCTCTGGAGAGAAACCAGAGCCTTCCGAGAAGTCTCGTGCCTCGCCGTCCGCTGCCTACCTTCAGATTGGAGAGCTGGCCAAAGGTCTTGGAGCAAACGTTGCATTCGTACTTGATCTTCCCGTTCTGCTTCTTCAGTGGGTATGGGAGGGTTTTGTAACCGGTCACATTCCTCTTACTTTTAATGAGATTCATGGCTTCTTCACCGCCTGTGGCAGCCAACACCACTGAGGTAGGTTTAGGTTGCATGATGTGTTCCGAACTGGCTGCTGTCCCAGCTGTGGGCGAGCCGCTGGTAGGGCTGCACGGCTTGTCCTTCATGCTGGCAGCAGCGCCCGTGATAGAGAAGGCACTGTTAGGGGCTGGGATGAGGAAGTCCCTCGGATGGTCAGGCTGCAGCAAGCGACGGCCTCCTTCGCTGGGCAACGAGCTGGGGAGCGTGGTGGGGTTCAGCATGGGGTGGGAAAGGCTACCTCCGCTGAGCAGGTTGCCATAGAGAGGATACATCCTCGGGAAGAGATTGAAATTGTTGATGCCGTTGATATTGTTCAAAGCGCTCAGGTTATTACAGCTCATATTGAACGGAGGTAACAGGAACTTGGGGTAGTGGGGGTTATAGGAGGGGAGGAAGGCAGGTGGGATGTGGCCAGGGGGTGCATACCCGGGGTAAGACCCCAATCCTTCTGAGCCATACGATCCGTTCAAGTAAGAGTACGGCTCTCTGTGCTCTTGGGAAGTCGGTGCCAGAGGCGAAACTGTGACCCCTGGACTGCTGTGAGGGCTTGAACTTTTTAAGCTTTGGTCTGGGCTGCTCCTCCCAGAAGGACTCGGCGTAGTAGACGTCTGGATGGGTGAGTGAGTAATGTAGCTGGGTCTGTCCATCCCGTACGCTAAGGAAGCTTTCAGATAGTCTTCTGGAATGTGAGGTCGGATCGGGTAGACAACTCGAGGGAAGAAACACCTCTCCGGGCTATAGTTCTTACGCAAATCATCCAAGTCTTTTTCTGGAGTAACTGGTGAAATGTTGGTCTGGAAGAAGTCTTTTCCTTTTGGATGACTGGATTCCATTTTCAGGATTTCTTTCACGCTGTGCTCCTTCTTTGGGATGCTCTTCTGATAGAACTCATCTTTATCAGCACTGTGCTGCTTTGGATTAATGTGGGTTTGTGCTGAAATACAAAGACAAGGTAGTGATTATTTAGATCTGTCGCCATCATTATCTCTTTTCAAAAGACAATCTAACTCCTACAAGTTTAGCGGGAAGGAAGGGCCACTCTTGGGAGACGAGCGATCATTTAACTCGCCAAAAACCTGATTTCTGTGTGAAGAAATGCTTGCTGGTATTAAGAGTTAACAAAAAGCATTGTTAATTTAAAGGATACCAGCCAGTACGTACAAATCTGGATGACGATTCATTTGCAGAGTGCTAGTCTCCACTTTGCAAAGTGATTTCACCTTTCTTTCCCCTTAAATTTGTCTAGCTTTGCTCCTGAATGTCTATTTAAGCAGCATTTCTAAGAAATGCGGTAACAAACATTTGTTCACAATACAGGTTTAACAGAAGGACTCTGCAGAACGCAAGCTCCCAGAAATGTTCCTGAGGAAAATAACAAGGCATGACAAATCGGCTTTTGCCAAACCGCAGCAGTCACTTCACCAGCCAGTTCAATTACTTACAGTACCAAAAAAACCCAAGGCTGGCTAGGATGAAAGCCTTCTTCAAAGAGAAGGTATTCTCCATCAGTAAACAGATCATTACTCATTAAATATACTGCTTAGGAACATCTACAACAAAGCAGACTATTTACTGCAGATTTCTGTGGCATTCAGTCTATGCAAAACTCCTCTGCTTACAGCTGTACTTTATAAAAAAAATGCTGAAGCAAAGCAAAAGAAAGCAAGACTGGTTGGCTCCAGTTTAAGTTGAAATGTACTTTAAAAAAAAAAAAAAAGGAAAAGAAATATGTATTTACAAGGACAGAGAAGCCAGCATCCATACTCGGCTCGGTTCAGTGCGTACAGTTTATCTGTAGTCAAAGACTCTACCGTGTTACCTGGACATAACATAGACAGTACACTGAAAGATGTCTTCGGTAGAAAAAGATGTCTGCTTTTATCTCATCTCCCAAAGTTAATAGTTATATAATCTTGACATGACGAATTGCAAGATATTTTATTATAGGGGAAAAAACTGCAGGAGGGTTTCATATTCGTGGTTAATGTGCAAGGTTTTCCATCAGGAGGCACAAGTCAACGCCGACAGATACGTGACTTAAAAGTATTGCAGCCCTTTAGCCAAGTTTCTGCTTCTGTGTCTGACTGTTCTTACTTCGCTACCTGAGGTGAGAAACAATTATTTCTGATTTTTGAAGGACCAGCTGAACCCCGTGAGGAAGACGGGAACAGGCAATGACAACGCCACTTTCAACACAGATTCTTTGCTTCACTATTCACTACCCTGACGGAATCTATCACGTTACCCTATAAGGCAAAGAAACGGCCATTTTTTAAATGTATCCAAGAAAACAGCTGCTTTCAAAGCATGCTCCTACTCCCAGCAACCCCCTTTTACAGCAGCATCCTTTTTCCAGTGGTGTTAGGCTAGTAGCAAGCAAATTTAGTTTGAGGTATGTGGGCAGTTTGCGCATTTTCAAGTGGCAATGAAATGTAATTGAATACAGTTATGTTCAATTAACGTACTTATGATAAAACACAGGGCGTGTTGGACAGCAAGCACGTACACACCTAAGTGCACAGGTAGCTTCCCAATTACTTCTCTTGATGTTAAAGTTTAATGCAGAGCTGTGTCAAAAATAAATTAATAGCGTGTCACATTGTCTGGCATTAAAAATCATCTACTTTCTTTGGTCACTTTGTACTCGTGGACTGGTAACTTATTTTCTAAACGTCCATCTGGATTTATGGGGTATAACTGGGTTCCTACCTACCCAGGTTCAAGAAGTGGGTAATATTATCTGTGTCTTCTCATCAGCTGCCTGTCACCACACCAGTGTCTGAGAGCAAATATTCCCGGCGATGCTATCAGCACCGGGCAGTAGGGAGAGCGGGATGTACTGAAAGCTGGGCGGCGGGGGTGGGGGGGAGGTAAACGGGACTTGTGAAGCCTCACAGCAGAAAAAAAATAAATAAATACCACCTTATCAGGCCCGTATCAGTTTCTCAGTGGGGTCTGCCGAACAGGAAGTTCAAATTGACACTTTTCTCTTTTAAAGAAAAAAAAAAAAAAAAAAACCAACAACCTGGGGGGAGGGGAAGAGGATGGAGAAGTGCTGGCCCTGCTGGAAAAGGGACAGAGAAGCCAGAGCCGCCTTGCTGGAGGAACGGCTCCTGCTGTCACCGGGTTAAACATCAGGGTGGGGACGCACGTGCCTGGCGCGCCGGAGCAAGCCCACGGGTGACAGAACGGAAGCTCACACCGAGAACGTAACTTTCTTTGTGCAACAGGCCCATGTCCCCTTCTCGACAGACTAAAGAGAACTGCTCTTCCCTTCCAAGTTTTCCCGATTTCCATGTGGAGACGGAAGTTGCAATATTTCAAAATTATTTTTCAAGTCTGTGACAGCTCTCTTTCGTTTGCAAGCCATCTTTGGTCCACACATGCCCTCTTGGCTTTTTCCACTATTACCTGAGCACAAAGGACGCTTGGGAACACCACAGAAATCAAAACATAAACAAGTGTGTCAGTACTGTGTAAAATAAGAAAAGGTAACGTCAGGGGCCAAGGAAAGGTCCCTACATTTTACTACCAAACGTGGATTTAAACCAGGGCTGAAACTGATTGAGAGCTTTACGGCTGTTCTTGTTGCTCTTAAAGGAGCCATACTTCAAAGTAAAAGAGATATCTTTCTTATAAATTCATTTTTGTTAAACTTGTGATTTTAGAGTCAAGTTCTTGTGGATCACAATGTCTCCTTCCCGCCCTTGAAATGCACTTCTCCCTCCCACCCCCATATACACGTATACACTAAATACAGGCACATCGCCTTCCAAGATCTGTCTAGTTTCTGTGGTCAGAGAGACACAGAAAAGAGGTTCATGACAAAACAAGAACAGTGCAGCCGCATCTGTAAGTTACTGATCGGAGGGGAGGGGTGGGGGGGGGGGGGGAAAGAAAGAAAAAAACCCAGACGTGCCTCTTTAGGAGCCTGATCCACTTCTAACCCAAGTCAACAGATTCTTTGCTCAGAGCCGAGATGAGTGAGTGCGTGCAAGAGGAAAAGGGAGAGAACTCCTTGTTACTTTTAAATATTAATAAAACTTGAGCGGAGGGGCTGCCTGAAGTCACTCCAATGTGGGTGTTCCAGCTACAGACTGCTGCGTAGCTGTAGGCTCTGCTCTCATTTCTTGTGTTCTGAGCTGTAGCCTGAGAAAGACTTCATAAAAACAGTGATCTGTTTTTTTCTAAAAACTTGAAAACGGTTGTAGGCAGACAGTAATTTCAACAGTAATTTCAGGAGTGAGATGGTACTGAACACTTCGAGTGGTGGAGCTTAATTATGCCGATTCACATTTTCGATCTAAATTAAGCACCTCTTTTGCTAGTAGAAAGAGAACCTCGAAGTTGCGAAGCAGGCAAAACAAAGAGTGTTTCCACTCAAAATGAGAACGGAGACCAACATTTAGAAGTATATGATTTGATCATCTGTTTTCTAAATGTGTCCAAGGCAGGGTGACATGCCTTTGAAAACATTTTGCTCAGAGAAGGTCTTTAAGGGAGGCTTCAAATAATCCTCAATATTGAGTCAACTTTAGCCCCCAAATTCTGGTTTGGTGAAGACAACCTTTCATATCATTTCAAAATCATTTTCCTGAGTTCTTTTGAAGATTCCAGGAGGCATTTTTTTTTTTTTTTTAAGCAAGTGCAGATGTTTCCTCTCAACCCAAACAGAAAAGCTTCAAAACCAGAAAGTGAAACTGCCCATAAACAAAAGGGAAAGCGAACGGCAGGGCTTAGCTAACGGCCAGCGTGTCAGGGCCAGCAGGAAGAAGAAAAGAATAAATCACATTGAAGAAACAAGCATTAAAAGGTTGATCTTCACTGAAACGGAAAGGTTTTAAATAATACCTCATTAAACCTATTAATGAAAATAAGAGATTTTGTAAACCTTTTTGCACAAATGTTTTGTAAATTGTCTTCCCCCACCTCAAACTTTTTTTCCAAAGCGTGACCATAAAACGATGTCACCTGCCTGCACTTGACTGAGGAGACAAACACGACATAAGCAGCAGGAAGTTGCATCATATGATTGCAATACAAGAGCATTATTATCAAATAGTCATGTCCTGAGTCAAGGCAATTGTTCAGATTTTTTTTTTTTTTTTAAACTGTTACCCTTCTCCTCCCTCTATCCCAAAATAATCCCTCTACGATGAGGTAGGACTTAAATGCTAAACTATGTGGGACCCCAGAAGCAAATTTCCTCAGTCTGTTCACCAGTCCAAAAATAAAATATCACAGACTAAAAGACAATCTGAGGGCCTGGCTGAACGAGGTTAAGCACCAATTACCAAAATTGATTTTCTGGCGAGCAGAATATCGAAATCTTGTGCCATCGCACTTAAAGCCATTTTCTGGCCAAGGGCACCAGCTGAAGATGACGTAGCTCAAATATTGACAGAAAACAACATCGGTGGCCTCAAAACAGGCAGGAAGGAGAAAGGGGTCGTTTGAAATGAGACTGAGTTTCTACCGCTGGGGTAGCACAGCCTTGCCTCCACCACTGTTGTGCAACTCCTTGCAGGCACTTCAACATCCACCCGGCGTTACGTAGTGCCACTCAGAGCTAATCACGGCTGTGAGGGTAGGTGTGTGCTTCAGCCCTCTGAAGGACTGGGTCAAAGGCCCCAATTCAGGAAAACACAGAGGACGGGGTTAAACCCATAACTAAGCACATGCCTAATTGCCATCCTGAACCCGGATGCCTGCCTTCCATGGCACAAATGAACTAACGCTGGTGAAGTTACCTTTAATTTGAAAGTTTGCTGTTACAGAGGCAAGTAGGTGTTATATGTGGATGTATAAATGTATTTACGCTCTAAAGTGGTAGTTCTCTCATTTTTGAGGCCACTAATTACAGGAAATAAAGCCAGAGAAATTCTCTGATACATTTTTCCCCGCAGGCCCATCCCGCTCGGGTGCTTAAAGAGGAACTGAAGTGCTGAACTCCAAGACCGTGATCCCCAAACCCCTGAGGCACCTAAAGCAGCTGCCTATATTTTAAGTTGGCAAGACTGGAAGCTCTCCGTAGGTGTGTGTCCCAGGTGGCCTCTCCTGTGCCGGGCCGGGCAGCCAGCCAAGGCTTGGCTCTTCCAAAGCGTCCCGCGGGCACCAGCATGTTCTGCACACCCGAGACGCGGCGGAGGGAGGGCGCCGGGCGCCCCACACCCCGGCCGGGGGCTGGCTTGGGTCCCCCCCCCAAGCAAGACTGTGTTAAGATGTTTTGATGGCACAAAGCCCCGTGTCTGCAGCAGGTGCAGGATGCAAGTGGTTCGGGGACAAGCCGCCTGCGCTTTATTCGTAGATGAGCACGGTGCGAGGGCGCCTTTGCCACGCCTGAGATAGAGCGAGGCTGGAGAGGCAGCAGGACGCTCGCTAATTTTAGATTTAACGAGAAGAAGTGGCCTGGGAGGAAGGGGAAGAAGGAAACGGAACAGTGCTGACATTCACTGTAAACTCATCTGGTTCCAGTACTAATGCTGGAAAACCCAGCCCTGCGCTGTTGCTACAGGGCCTTCAGCAAATAAGCATCTTCAGGAGGCCTCTGGATTTTTTTTCTGTGCTTTTCAAGAGAGGGCACCGAAACCTTACAAAACCTCAATCCTTACAGTAACCGTAGTGCTTCTGGCCCAACTGCAGGCTTTAGGCCTGCCTGTGTTTATCACAAAGATGAGGGGAAAAGATAAAGAAAGTGAGAACTTTTTCTTAGTTTTCTGAACTGCTATTTTCTTTAGGTGGAGGGGGCTAACATAAGATTTCTAGATGGTTTAAATGGAATTATCTTTAAAAAGAAGAAGGGATATTTTGATCTCAGTGTCGCTTTTTTGAGTGTTGAGGCTGAACTACACAATTGTTGCTCAAGATCCCCAACTCTTTAAATCCATGTATTTTACTAAAATGGGTTACTCTGCACATGTCCAGACACCCCTGGTGTTGACCTGAGTAAGAGTAACCAGGTAAGTAGTTGACACTTTACAAATACATTCCTCACTACTTCTGCAAGGCAACCGAAGATGCCAGCAGATGAAGGAAGCTGAGGCTGCGTTTGCATATCCTCCTAGCTCATGGCCAAATGCGCCTGGCTGGATCTTTGCAAACTCCTCATCCCCAGGAACCCTTAATGCTGCTGCCTCGTCCCACCTGCAGGTCCCACTGAAAAGCCAACAGTTCATCAGCTCAGGCAATAGAACCGCACGGCGAGTGGCGAAACAATGTACGTGCGGAGATGACAGAGTCAGTGAGATATTTTTTGAAGAGGGAAAAGGGCGGCACAGGACACCTCCTCCCTCTCTTCCCTCTGCCACTAAGAGAAAGCAAATTTTCTTCTATAATTTGTAGGGAAAGGCCAAAAACTGGTGAAAGGATGACATCCATGGAGGACAGATGTACTTTTGATTAACCTCAACGCGTGACATCATTTTCATGACACAGGGTTACATTTTAGCTCTGAGGATCCCCCAAGTAACACTGACATTTTATAACCCAATACTTGTTGCCAAATAACAGCAACTAGTCTTTTTTATACCAAAAGAAAAAATTGCTTGCAGTTTCTCCTACAAATTTCAGCGTAGGCCCTGGCAGAAGGACAAAAGAATGCTCTGCTCTATCTCAGAGCAGCTAGCAGGAGGGGAGGCAGCCTAAGAGTCGAGTGAGAAGTCAGCAAGAATCTCTCCCTCTCTCCAAGGGGCTCTGGGTGAGGTGCTAGGCAGTGATTAAGCTATGAGTAAAGCGCTGAGGCTGGAAATGGTCAGAAACCACAGAGGAACACAGAGATGAACTCCTGGAAACACCTCTTCCCCCTGCTACCAGTGCTATTACTTTTGAACAGAAAACGAAAGCTGCGATACGCAGCCGAGAAACAGGGACAAAGTACACTGAACAAGTAACCAGACGAGAAGACCACAGGAGGTTTGCTCCCATAAGATAAGTAAGCGTAGATGCAAGGCTCAAAGAGCGTTACGCAGACAACACACATTTTTTGTCAGACACCTAGACAGAGCCATGGCACACGGCCACTTCCTTGTACAGCGAGGGCAGCCCTTTGGGAGCATGACTGGACAGCCTTTAGTACACACCACCCATGCAGACTTTTGCTCAGTGCGCTATGAGATCTGGACTTGAAAAGTCTGAGAGTGAACCGACGTCTATGGTTCTGAAGGCAGAGGATATATATTCAGGTTGTCTGTCCAGAATTTCATCAGACAAAACTCAGATTGTAAACCAGTAAACTGTTCAGATTTTTTATAATCTGTTTACGTTTGAACGGGCACAGGGAACTCGTTCTGTTGTGCTGGGTTTTTTAATTCCCCTTTTCCACTCCGAGCTACCTACTGTGACACAACAGATGATGCAGCTGTGTAATTATACAACTTATTATTAGATCGCATAGGCAGAAGAGACATTACTAGCATTCCTTGTTTATACTGTAATCCACTTACTGAGGTTCATCATTGTAAGCTCTCTGGAGGAGGGATAGTGCAGCCTCTCTGCAAAGTCCCGGCAATACCACACAAGCAGCTCTTGGTTGGCAGGGATGGGCTTGATGGTGTAGAAGTAGATGTTCATTCCATTCTGACAAGCAGCCAAGTTCTGTTCCTGAACAGAGTAGCCGGGGTTTACATAACGCATCCAGTTGCTCTTGTCCTCGTTAAAGCCGTCAATGAAGTGGTGAAGCTCACCACTTGAGTAGATCTGGAATAGAGAGGAAGCGCTTATGAATATATACGCACAATACGCCAGACACGCGCACAGAGTCCAGAGGGGAACACGATAAGATTTTTTTTTTTTTTTTTTTTTGGTAAACAAGCAGATATTACTGAAATAAGAATTCAAGCCGGGTTCCCCCCTTTCCAAGCGTGATATCCTCTGCGTTAAGAAAAGAGATGCTTATTCAAAAGTAAGTCCAGAGTCACCTTTTCCATTTCTGCTTAGCCTGTCTCTGCTAGTATGGACAAATCAGACCCGAAATCCGAAAGGCAGAGTACTCTCCCTGAGTGAAGTCTACCTTGGAGCCCTTTTCCTGGTGCTATGATCAACAAGTGGGTGATGCTAATGACTGCAGGTCTGAGTGCATGCTTGCATTAATGCTTTGACTCACCTGTGTATAAGACTGACTGGCTGTGCTACGTCACAGTCTTTCTCGCCTTTTTCTATGGCCTCTGTACTTGCAGTTTCCTACCACCTCCACCCAAAGGTTTAAACTATGCAAACATCCTCCACCCCCCCCAGCGTCCTAAAGCAACACTTGCTCACAGTTGGACTGTAACCCTTTTGTAGAAAGGCTGGGTGAGGCAAAGATGAACTTCACCTGCCATAACTTAACGAAGACCTGGAGAGGGGCCAGCCGATGCGAAGTCACTTTTCCTATCGAGGGACACGTTCTGGCTTGTCCACAAAGGGGAAAGAAAACATGAATCTAAAAGCTGTTCAGTGGCTTGAGGGGAAAGAAGTCCCAATCACAGACAGAAGCTACTGTTTCTTAAAGTGGCAAGAATATGAGAATTATTATTAAAAAAAAAAAAAAACCACACACAAAAAAAAACAACAAACAAAAACCACCAAGGAAAATCCAGGAGAGATGTGCGTTAAAAACACATCCCTTACTCTCTGGGGGAACCAGCTCTGTGCTGGATGAAAAGGGGTTCCTGAGTTTCGCAAAACAGATGACTGGGCAAAAGCCAGACCTTGAAGTGGGAGTAGCTCGCGCCAGCGACGCACCTCGCTGAGCAGGAAATGCCTTTCCGAAGGGGAGACAGAGCTTATCTGGGGGGGGGAACACTCCACAGCGTGTTCCTGCCTTTGTGTTGACACCACTGTCTTTCGCACCTACCTGGCCGGGCAGCCCACCCCGCAAGCGCCCGCCAGCCGGCCGGGACCCTCTCCTCTTCCCCCCAGAGAGCCGCCGGCGGAGAGGGGTGAGGCAGCCTGGCCCTTTAACGCGGGCCGTAAACACCAGAATCACTTTCTTTAAGAGCAACTTCCTGTAAACTGAGAAGGGGGAAATACATGTGGCCTCATCAAAGCAGCCTGCGAGAGATTTTGCGGTGTGTTTGTTATGAGAAAATGGAAGGGAGCCGGGCGAGTTGTGCTGCATCAAGAGGAGCCTTTGGGTTTCTCTCCTCACCCCGGCTCACAAACTTCCAGGAACGCGGGGCTCCGGCACTCGACGCCTGCCGCCGGCTTCCCAAACCGGCCCTCCACCGCTCCCCACGGCAGGGCCGCGGATGCTGCCGGCCAGCGTGCTCGGGCTGCGGGGTGAAGGCACCCCGCTGGGCTCCCACCTATTCTGGGGAAGGCCAGCCCAGATGTGCTGAGTCACGGCGCGGTTCCCCGAAATGACGCTGGCCCCGGGCGGCCCCGCTCCCCTCGCGCGGGCAAGGCGCAGGCAGCGTCCCCCCGCGCGCGCAGCAGATGTTCCCCGCTCCTGCCAGCAAGCCCAGGATGCCTTTAATAACATGTGGGAAGTTATCTCCCACAATTTCCTTCGCATATGCAAGCCTCTGTCAGACCCCTAGGAAGGAACTCATTTTCGGTGCAGCAGCCTGTCTTGAACGAATCAAGAGATTATAACAGGGGATTTAACGATGCTTAGATGGCTGCTAGGATATTATTTCTGAGAATCCCTCTGCACTAAGGCTTAAAAATCACATCATGAGAATGACGTCATCTTTCTCGCTGCAACATATGAATGAAGTCCTGCAAGACAGTTAGAAGCCCCTCTTCCCAATGTTCACCATCTTACTAACGACTGGTAGGGCTAGGGCCGACGTACCGGTCTCCTCCTGTGCTGGACACAAGCTCCTGAAAAATTCAGCTAAAACAAACACTTTGTAGCCTTACGAACGTGAGAACAGTTGCCTGCTTGGTGGGAACACCCGTGGCAAATAACTGCCTGTGCAATGCTGTATTACATCGCACGAAGACGATCCGAGAAAACCAAAATGATGCGATTAGGTAGGAAGAAAGGGGTGTGGGGAATGCTGGTGCTCGCCCTGGGTTTCACCTGGATACGAGGTTGGGGTATTGCTAAGGCAGGCAAGCACCTGGGCACAGAGGCTTGAATATACTCCCAAATTCACCGACTTAGACACAACCTAAATGGCTAGAAGGCAGCAAAACAAATCCATGGAAGGAGATGGGGCTGAAGGAATATTCTCTAACAATGAATAACGGGTCTGTAAAGGAAACTGAGGATGATGTCAACTGATAAACTGGAAGCTTATTCCCCAGCACAGACTTTCCAAGCCAAATCAAACTGGCTGGTGCACCCTTTACAGGTTATACTACTGAGTAGAAATGAGGCATCACCTGAAGTGTTTGTCTGCCATTAATGGATATTTCCCTTCACTAAGATCCCGCGGGCTGCTCTTTTAACACTTTCTGAAGTGGAAAAGCTTATGACTTGAACAATACACTCTGAAGACCACCACCACTGTGTTACAGCAGTTCTGTTCAAGACCCAGGAAAAAATGCCACAAAACGTATCGTAATTCCAGAGTAAAAGACTATGGAGCACTTTTCACAGCTTCTTCATAGCTGGGAAAATCAAGGATACGTGATATTTGCATAAACAAGAATGACTTTCCACTGTGAAGAAATGCAAGATAACCTGCCCCTACAGCAAGCAGCAGAACTATTTCTTTACACAACCAAGCACTGATCCGTTTTGGAAGACAGAGCCGGGAAGGGCTGTGCATCTCCCCCGCTCTCTCCACCCACACAGTCCCTACATCCACGACAGCCAGGCTTTCACTCCGCTCAGTCCACCCCACGGGCTCTGTCCCTCCGTGCCTGGCAGCGTACAGAAGTTGTCCCCTGCATTCACACAGGTCTGAAGCAGGAAGTGACCCAGCTTCTCAGCTGTACTCATTTAGTGATCTGCTTACTGCAACAACATGGTGCTGTTTTTTCCTGCTTACCCGCCAAAAGTATTTTCTGTTCGCATTCTTGGGAACCGTATCGCTGGTATAGATCTCTCCTACCAGGGGTCCAAAGCGTGTTCCTTTTGGGATGTACTCTTTGCTTATAACTCCAGTGACCTACAAGAAGAGCAGCACAGGATCAGTCCATTGCCAGTAGAAATTAAAAAGTCTTCCTTCCGCTCCCCTGCCCCCTGGACTTAACAAGGTAAAGCAGCCGACGCAAGAAATTTTTAGTGACAGGTCAGCAAAACAGGAATAAATTAAGAGCTGTGTAGGATATGATACGACCAGCTTTGTTAGATACGAGCATCTTACCGAGACCTGTGGAAGCCAAAGATGAACACCGCCTGAAAAATGTGTTTTGTGGAAATACATTTACAAGAAAAAACAGTAAGCAAAACGTACAGAGACTGTCAAATATCTTCAGAAGTTATTTCTCCTACCAAAGGCAACCCCCGAAAGTCTAGTTCCAGCAAACAAAAATATTCAATAGCTATCAATCACTTCACTGCTAGAGAGCTCACTTTTTCTAATAAGTTTAAGAACTGGAAAGACTGCTCCTCCAGATCAAAACGAAACCTTCCCCCCCCGGCTCCCCCTCTCTTCTTCACACTATACCCATCCTGATAGCTAAAAGGAGAACAAAAAAAAAAAAAAAAAAAAAAAAAGACAACCTACAATTCTCTCACCAGCATACAGTGGCATACAAAATAGAATATGAAATGGCTTTGGGACATGCACTCGCAGATCACCCTCTTTTATAAAAAGGAGGCAGCAGTTCCGGTAACACATGTCAAGTGGGTTTGGTCAAAAAGGCGTAAAGGTTTTGATGAAAATGCTCCACTATACCGGGTCTAAGAAATGTACTCTAGTTGTTCAGCTTCCTTCTTGACAGTAATTATACCAAAAAAAGTCACTGACCACAAATCAGGAAGCAATTCATCATTATTCAGAAGAACGTGCCTTGGAGTAACCCTTTGCAAAACACTGCTGAGTTATTGGTTTTGCCTCTCTCTGTTCCTCACCAATCTTCTTAAATTTAATGTATCCAAACAACATTAGAAAACCAACAGTTTTGTAAACCAAAAACCCCAAGCCTTTGCAAGATCGATCCTGCTGCTCAGACAGTGAAAAAAAAGGTAAAAAGCCCATTGATTTTGTGTTTATAACCAAACTTTCATGACAAAATGTATTAATCGTACCCCTTCACACATCTTGCCACTTGTCTTTTTGCTCGACAAGATTTCAGAAGAAGACAGGAACAGCACAAGTGGTTGACGAACACCAAGAGTTGGGATTATCGCTGCCTGTACTCCGCAAGGAAATGGTCTTACCAAAACAGATTAGCACTCATTAGACCTTGCAGGTAGCTCACTGAAGCGAGCATTTACTTTTCTTCCTAATAGTCCTTTGCAACAACGGACAGTAAAAACCCTGGACTACACACACCAATTCACAGATTAGCTAAACCTTGTGATTTTTCTCGTGCTACATTTTCTTCTGTTGTATCAACCTTGGTGTGAGAGGGAGACAGACAGAGAAATACTTGCCTGTGTATTGATCACGATTAAAAATCCCAGTAAACAACTAACACCTAGCATGACTTCACATTAAATGTCAAAATAAAGGTGACAAATAACAGCCACGGAACCACGGAGGTAATCCATCCAGAAACAGATTGCTGGGTGTATATGGTGGCTGTTTGCGCTTGTCTGCGTTTCAACACGCGTTTTAGCACGCTACAAAAAAAATTAAACGTCAACAGTAGAGGTAGTTAAATGCTCCATTGATCTGTGCATCTGGACTGAAGAGAGAGAAAAGGGACTTCCAGAAATTTTCCTACACCTACCACAAGCTGAAACAAGCTCAGTGGCTCAGTTTTATTTTTGTCTTGCTTGTACATTTCTCATAGAGAGCTGAAAAAGGCAGATGTTCTTCTCATCTTCCCCATATATCTTCATTTACATCCATCTGCCCTCTCAAGATAAGTTCACAACCAAGCTACAGCACACCCTACCAGTTTTACTGCATGGTAGCTCGAGTTTTTTTCATGGTTTTAAAATATCTGGGTCTTAATTAAAACGACTTTAATGAAATTCTCAGAATCTCTAGAAATCACTCCTCAAACTAGTCAACTTGAAACACTCACTGAACTGGTGTCTCTGACACAGCAGATACTTTTTGATATCCACCTTACACGCGGTGTTTGCTTCTCCCCTGGTGCAGATGAGCACGAAGACGATTTCTCACCCTGTACTCATCAGAAGGTTATTTCGGCGGAGGATGTTCTGCACACCCCTGTGTGCCAACACCGAACTTTTGCTAAACCAGACTAAAGCTGTCCAGATGACTTTTAACCGAGGGTGGGTGGGCTTGCTGGTCAGCAAGTCTTGGCCCTCGTTGTGGCCCCACAAGCTCAGATGCTGTCTGTGGTCGAGAAGGGGGACCCTCCGGGAGAGGGGTGCCAGCAGTGCCGGGACACACCCGCTCCACACAGCCCCCCCCTGCCGCGGCCGAAAGCGGCTCCCGCCCTGCTGCGGCTTAGGGGAGGAGGCTTAACAGGAGGCCACGACGTACAGAGCAGCCGAGAGCTCGGAGGCAAAACAGCGAAGGAACTCCACGTCCAGAGCTGAGGGGAAGCCGTCCCGGGGCTGCCGAACCGCTGTCGCGGCGAGGCATTTCAGAGCTGTGTCCACCAGGTGTCCTTCAGCACACTGCTGCCTCTCGGCGATGAGACCTTCCGAAACACCCTCGTGGCGGGGAACCACGGGGGAGCACGACCTGGGCCCGCTCCCCGCAAATAAAAGCCTACCGCCCGCCCTTGTGCAGCCTGTGGGGGTCTGAACCGTGGCGGATGGAAGCAAACGCGCTGTTTTCACAACAACCTCCTCCTGACAGACACCTTACCCCGTCCCCCCCCCCCACACACACACGCTTCACCGCTCCAACTCTCAACGCTCTTGCGTTTTCCCTTTTCGGTAAACGAGCATTTCCCGCACGGAGACGCCAGCCTGAAGCCGCGGGGCCGGTTGCCGGCGCCGCGGGAGGCCGGGGGCTCTTGCCGAGGGCCGGGCCGAGCTAACCCGCTCTCCCCGCGGGGGTGCGAGCGGGACGGGATGCGCCGGAGCGGAGCGGGGGCCGGCGGGGAGAGCCCGGGCGGGGGCGGAGGGGGGGGGTCCCGGTGCCGGCGGGGTGGCGGGGGGGGGGGGTCCCGGTGCCGGGAGCGTCCCGGGCCGGCGGCGGCGGCGGCCCTGGAACTGACCAGGGTCCTAATGCGGCGCCGGGGGCCGGGCGGCGGAGCGGCTGGAGCCCGGCAGGCCCGGGCGGCCGAGCACATCCCCCCACCCCCCCGACCAGAGAGATCGATGGGCTCCGGTTCCAAATTCGGTCTCAAAAGGCGCTTTGAAAAGACCCAACGCTACCCAACATCTTTGTTTGGGGAGAGGGCACTGGATGTAAGCGACGACCCCGGTCAGCTCTGCAAGGGGAAGGATGCTTTGCAACGGGACCGCTGAAATGCTTTAACACCCCCCCCCACCCAAAAAAAAAAAAACCGCAGAACGAATTCTTCCTGGCTTCAGTGAAATAACAGCGTTCTCCGAATGCAAACTGGGAAGGCCATCGCGTGTCCTGGAATAACATGATTTGTTTTTTTTTTTAACTGCTAGTTCCATAGTTACATAAGCCTGCATAAATTTGTACCCCTTCATTCGGTGACCATTTTTCCAAAAGAGATGCCATGAAATAAAATGCTTTCAGACCGCTTCCTCAGCGATCACACGTAAAAGAAATAGAATCAAAGCAACAGGAGAGAGCATGTGTCTGAGGTCAGTGAGGCACACTTGCTAGCAGCTCAAAATCACTGCTTTCATTAAAATCACTGACTCAGGGTCTGTCTCTAAGAAACGGCCTTATCAGAGAAATGCAACAAGAAATGGGTCTGCTGAGATACAATTCTCTCTGTCAAGCTCATGGACCAGGACGAGGCATCACTAATGTTCAAGACAGCAGAGTAACTGGCACTTGATATCGAGAAGGGCTGTTTGGGCTTTAAGGACTAAGACCAAAGCGAAACAATCTTCAAAAAAAATTTTTTAAACGTCTACACGAAATAGATCATTCACATATGGCCTTCTAGAGTGTGATTTTGGCACTGCATTTCATCATTTTTTGTCAATTGCTACAACTGGAGGAAAGGATAAATAATTCATGCACAGAAATAAATAAATGACTTCATGTAAATCTAGCAGCCTAAAATGTTAGGAACAGTAGTAATTCATTTTTTTTAAATGCTGACACATACTGTGAACTCATAATGAAAAATGTGTCCTTCAGAAAAATCCCCGATCAAGATCCAAGAATAAACAAGAGTATGACGCGTCATGGACTCCCTTGCAAATTCAATAAACCTTTAAAGAGGAGCTACTCACTTCACAAAGCAGGCACGGAAAAGAAACACAAAAAGCAACCCTCCCCAAACAACAGCAGTTGTACTTCCTCCCTCCTAAGCAGGCACGCAGTACTTTTCCTACTCCAAGTGGAGATACAGGACTAATCATGACAGCACTAGGATTTCATGATCTAATCATGACAGTATTAGCATTTCACAAGCGATGTATTATGTATGTTTTTGTCAATAAACTGACTCAGCATTCAAAACTCTCAGCCAGATGAAGCCACAGCTCTCCCCAAAGTTAACAATGAAGACAGTTCACATTTGAAACCCACTGGCAAACACACACGCATGCATCCCCCGGTCTTACCTCATCCTTTCCCAAGGGAAGAAAAAACCCACCCTATCAAGCTGTCAGGACTCCAGTGGTTTTACATGAGGTCAAAACCAGAATCAGGCTCCCTCGCTGCCCCCACAAACACTGATGTGAGAGAGCAACACACACCCAGTCCTGACCCCACTGAACGAAATCAAACTTCAAAGGCAGACAGACAAAAATAATGTTTCACATCAGAAGTTGCTAGAATGCAAGCAGAATTAGGCCACTTGCAATTATTTCACCCTGCAGACAAGCAGCAAATGAGTGACCTGTCCGTACATTCACAGCACTGTGGCTTTCACAGAAGGTGGGGGAAGAAAAGGATCAGATCGGCCCTTTCTTTCAGAGCTACCTTAGAAATAGTCAGGGTTCGAAAGTTCATATTGCTCCTTCCAGTAGGTGCTACTCAGCGCGAATAAAAGACTGGGGGGAACTTTGGAGAACAAAAGGAGGATGTCCTATATTCAGACTCCCACTAGCAGGGAACCGCACGGGTCACATTTTACAAGGAAGAACCAGGGATCTTTCAACGACTACTCTCTCCCCCCCACCTCTTACATAGAGATGGCAGTAAGCCTCCTACCCCGATTCACTGACCTGAGCTACAGCGAAAGGAAATTACACCTTGGTGTTTCCAGAGATGGCGCTGGGAATTTTGAAAGCTCCTCGGACGTCTCCTGCCGCGGCAGCAGGACTGAACGGGGGCAGAGAGAGCGAGCAGCCTGAGCAGCCAATCAGTCACCAGCCGGCTGCCGAGGATCTGCCCGAGCTGTCGCGCTGCAAGCTCATCCTTCAACCGAGAAATCCTCCCGAATCCCACAGCGGAGTCGCAGCCCTATCTCCCCCCTGCCGCCCTGCCGAAGCAAGACCTATCCGACGATGCAATAACACAAAACAAGGTTTTGTACTTTTTTCTTCTGGAACGTGCCCTTTCTCTGCCAAAGTTCTGCAGGGCAGGGCAGGGCAGATGGGAAGAGAAGAGTGATTTTAAGGAGAATTTTGCTTTAACCTCTTACCAAACCTACTAGGCACTGCCAAACTAAATTCCACCGTGCCAATACCCTCCAGCTGGGGGTCCGGACCCATTTCTGTATGCAGGATTAAACAAGTAACTACTTTGGAAGGAAATACTTGATAGGCACGGATGAGTGTACCTCTTCTTTTCAGCTCTGTGGTCAGTGTGTTTAGCCAAAGTAGAAGCACAGGTAATAGCTGCTATACCGCAAGTCTCAGCACAAGGAGAAATGAAGGGTTGTCCCTTGGGTTATTACCCTGCCGAACATCACACCTAGCTATAATAGCTACTCTATATGAAGGAGTAAACACAAAACCAAATTGCTCATCCGGGCTCATTTCTTTCCAGCCCTTCTGAAACAACAACAAAGAATGTACCCACTCCAGGGACAAGGATAGGACAGACTCGCACGGCTAGCTACCAGTGAAGATACTGTCCCAGATAAACAAAAGTTAATTTAAGCTACGGCCACCCTTCTGTCAAGCTTGCTACAGTTCTACCATCACTTCCTTAACCGACATGCCGGAGTTTTTAAGAATTTAGGAAGTCGGGAGTACAGCAAGCTCACAAAAAGAATAAAGCAATTTCATAACCAAAGGGAAAACAAAAAGAAATAATTAAACACATTTCCAGGAATTTGGGTTCCCCCCCCCCCTCTACTTTTTTAAGGCTATTTATTGGACAACCGAGGCACTTTAATCTCTGCGCCAGAGGCAATGAATGGTCCTGGCAAACAGCAGTCTAGAAATTGGCACAGACAACTACCCCACAGTTTAAATATGCTTATTCAGATGCTGTTCAAATTGTGTGAAAATTTAACTGTTTGTGAATTGGTACAGAAACAGTTTCAGTCGTAGGCTGGCTGCGATTTCCAGTGAAAATATTGCACGACAGATGACCAGCTAAGAGTTTCTTAGAAGAGTTATTAGGATCCTAGCCTAAAAGCCAGCGGGCAGCATTTACTGGGGGGGTGGAGGTGTGTGTGTGGTGGTGGGGGGTGTGTGTGTCTCTTAAAGAATGGAAGCCAGGGTGAGCACACACTTTCCAAAGCGCTGTGATTTGGCTTGTCTGACTCCAACCTTCCCCAGAGCATTGCCGCTTACCTCTTTGCAGTTAGATGCATATTTGAAAGTCAAGTTCCTTGGCAAGGAAGCCTCTGCCTGAGTTAGGGTGCCTCCATCGGCACTGGGATCCAACGGGTGATCGTTTACAATGTACGTGCATTTCTCTTCAAAATCGGCTTCCGTCCACAGAGTCATGTCAGCATCCTCCATGTCCATTTTCATTGTCCACTCTCTCCCTTTCACCAGATTCTTGAAACTCACAGCGTCCGAGCTACACTGTGTAGCAGCCTGGAAAATAAGAAAACAGCCTTTAATCCTCATTGTCCTTCAGTGTTGTGGTTTCCGTTGAGACAGCGTGACTAATACAGTAGTCTGTGACACTTTAAAAGCGTATGCAGGATAGTTGGTACAGTTGAGTAATAGCCAAAAAGCAGAGTAAACGAAGCTGCTCTGACTGAAGCAGTGCCTTAGAACACCAGCCTCAGTAATAATGAGGAGGGAACAAAAACAAAGAGGAAAAAAAAAAAATCCCTAGGCTGACAACCGCTTTACCTTTTTCAGACCCTTTCCTTAATGCCTCAGAGAGAAAAAAAATATTCCATGCTGAAGAAAACGTGGGGTCATGGCCATGAGACCACTTAAGTCGCCTGTGGAAAAGCTGCCTCAAAAAAGTGTCACAAACAAGGAGAGGAAGAGGAAAGGAGCTGCTGTCTGCGTCTGAATGAAGCTAAAAATGGAAAGCGCATGTTGGAAGAGCGGAACCCAGCCTTGCCTCTTCCAAATGGGGAAGCCTGAACTTTCCCACCGGCTTTCAACACACAAACAACTTTCAAAACAACCTGGCCCCCCCGCCTCCTCCTGACGTCCCCTTATCCTTTGGCATGGGAGGCTGAGAAAGCCGACATCCTGCCAGCATCCCTGCAGCAGCGGCAGCAGCCCTGCACAAAGCTCTGCAACATGTTCTCGGGGGCCAAAAAAAAAAAAAAAAAAAAAAAAAAAAGAAAAGTAGCCGGGGAAATAAATAAAAGAAAGAATTCTTTAAAAAGTTTTTCTATCCATTTTGATGGCACCTCCGAGAATTACTGTCTCAAAGCACTGGACAGGAGCCCCGCAGGACATTTCCACCAAGTCCTTCGCCCCTCTGTCTATTCTGGACAGAAGCGCTGATACCAAACCTGTTCCCAGACAGGTACTGGGTCGGGCTTTTTCCATAAGGTTCATCAGGGACCGAAATCCGTGCCTATGCCGGTAGCTGGGAATGACGTTCAAGCCCGGCGTAAAAATCCCTTCATTTTTCCCTTTTCGGGTAGGCAGCGCCTGTGCAATTCACACCCCCTCCTCCGGGAACACCGAAACGCGGAGACTGAAAGAGCACAATCTTCCGAGAGGTGAAAAGGGCCGAGGGGCTCCGGGTTAGCGGGGACCCCCCGGGGACAGCCTCTCCGCGCCCGGGGGGGGGGGGGGGGGCTCGGCCGGGGCCACCGGCAACTGCCCGGAGGCGCTGAGGGTGGGGGGGGGGGTGGCGGCAGGCAGCTCCCCCGCGCCCCGTCCCGACTGCAGCCGAAGGAGTTACCGGCTCTCGGCGTTGAAAAGGGGGAGAGGAGATTAACAGCGAAACTCGGGGCCGGGGTGGGGGGGTGGGGGGGTGGGGGGGCGGGTTTGACAGTTGCGCGGCGGAGCGAAAGGGTTAACGCTGATCAGAGGAGCGCTCCCGACGCGGGAGAGGCGAGGAGAAAAACTTTTGCTCCGTCCCGCGGGCGCCGGCGCGGGCCGGGGGAGGGCGAGAAGAAGGGAGCGGGGAGGGCTGAGGGGGATGCGTGGGGTCAGCGTGGCGCTCCTTACCGGGGCAGAGTCCGCGCGCGTTTCCACACCGAAGCCCACCGTCGGCGGCCGCCCTGGCTCATCTCTACAGAGTAAACATTTCTCCTTCCTTCCAGCGGCCGGGTCCCCGGGAGACTGACTGACTGACTGACTGACTGACTGACTGACTGACTGACTCACTCGCACCTCCGGCCGCCGCTCCCCGCCGCTCCTCCCCCGCTGTCAGACAGGTGCTGCCGCGCGCCCTTGCTCTTGCCGCGGGGGAACGCTGGGGGGCCGCCTGCCACAGCGCCGCGCTCGCGCGCCGCGCGCCCGGCCCGCGCCCGGCTCCCTCACCCACCCCCGGCCCCGCCCCTCGCCCTCGCCTTCCCCTCACGGCGAGGGAGGTGGGGCTCCACCTGCGGACCCTGCCCGCCGCAACCCAACGCGATTTACCAAAAATAATAATAAAAAATTATCGTTGTTATTAATGCTGATTTCCCCCCCCACACACACACACACACACACACCCTCCCCCTCAAGATGGGACGGCCTCTGCGGAAGGTGGGAGAGCCCAGAGGCGCTGCCCAGACGCCCGGCTCGGGCGGGTGGGCACCTCCGCGGCTTCGCGAGAAGCGCACGTGAGGCAAGTTTTTACTAGAAATCTGGCTTTCGTGCTATTTCAAGCTTCAGAGGTCAACACGTGCCCCCGGTTTCGTTCTCCCTCAATCTGACTAGCTAGAACATCAGAAAGCTAACAAAACGACCCCCGGGTTCCAGAATATCCATTAAAACCCGATTTAAAGTGCTTACTCCCGAACCTTAACAAATACAGCAATTTTACTTGGTATGGCCCACTTGGGAGTTTCAGAGTTTTGATTTTATCCCTTCCCAGAGTCTCCTTCTAATCAGTGCTTGTAGAAGGAATCAGGAAAAACATCTCTGTTTCTTCCTTTAAATAAAATCTTTCCCCCTCTCCCCAGGTAACAGCAGGGAAGCTCACAAGAGCAGGGCAAGGCAGGCAGCATTTCCAAACTCGGTGCCTCTCTCGCAGCGCGGTAAGGAAACGAGCCCTGATCTTGCGCTGGGCAGCACACGGGCGACCGTCCGGGAGCACGCTGGTGGTGGGAGGAGGATTGGTCGAGCAACTGGCGGACCCTGCACCCAATTTATTTTTTTTTTTTTTTTTTCCCCTCCAATCCAAGTCAGCGTTCTGGCTGAAGGAAGGACATCCTGTGATGATGGCATACAATGTCCTGTTTGTTTATTATTAAGAGCATTCCTGCTTCTCATTACAAAACAACCAGATGCCTTACTTCCTTCAGTGGTCCTGTCTCTTCAGCGAGGCGTCCTCGGGCTCAGAGGAACGGTGATACACAATTCCATTTATAGCCATCTACAGCCCAGTGCGAACGCTAGCTGCTTCACTGTGAGGCAACTCTACTACTTTTCCTTTTTCTCACATGTCTGCAAGCATATTTCTCATTGCTTTCCCGGCACTTTACGTGGCAGCTAGTTTCACATTCTTATTCTAAACACGCGCACTTGTATTTTGGGGTGATCTGGGTGTTACGTGTTTCTTCACAGGAAAGAGGGAGAAAGAGGAAAAAAAAGCATGTTTTATGCAATCGGGTGCCTGTCCACCATCTCTCTGACTGGTGTATGCACATCCCTTTCCCTTAACCTGCTCCTCCCCCCTCTGATAAAAAGACCTGTGGAAAGGATTACTTGCCATTTTCGGTCTGCGATGCTCAGAATAGTGTATCTGCTGTGTGAAGACCTTCCGTATGTGCTAACACGGGAGGGCTCGCAGCAGCAGCAGACCTAAGTAGGGCAACTGCTTGCAAGTGAGTGTCCTGGCTTAACTTCCACCACAGCGTAATTCCACAAGAGAGGTGGCCCGAGCACTGGGCTGAAGGATATAAATGTAATTGGATATACCCAGTAAAACCGAGGCACTTCCAAAATGAGGTCTAGGAAGGCTCTGAAGTAGGAAGAACCATTCATTAAAGGAGAGAAATCCGGCCTACTTGATTGGGTTAATTAACTGATGCTGAGTCACACCGCATAGAACAGAAAAACAATGTAGTCATACTGAAGGTGATTATTTTACCGAAAAATAGTCTCACTCTGAGAGGCAGCTGTTTCAGAGCTTTTCACTTCCCTGTTAGCTTGAAAAGAGAAAAAAAAAAAATAAAGGGGGGGGGGGGGAGAAAAAAAGAGTTGATATGTTTCCTTCAAGGCCTGATCTTCTTAATGTGAAGGAGAGTGGAAGAAAATTAAATCTGCCTTTCAAGGAACTGAGAATGCTTTTGGGCTGGAGAAAAGGAGGAATCAGTGATTAGATCAGATCAGATGAAGTGAAATATTCGTCAGGACGACAGGAGGATGCCAACATCCCAGGTCAGAGCGGCTCTCTCCCTGGAGTCTGGGGAGGCAAGTACAGCCTACGAAGCCTACGGACTTCAAATAACTCCGTGGCACACTCCGAGACCATCCCAAAATTAGCTCCAGGTGTCTCAGTGAAGCTGAGCCCAGAACTACCGTAGCTCAGGAGAACAGATTTTGCTGGCGTGGAGGTCGTGCCTAGCAGTGCCCAATCTGGAATAAAACTAAGTTTATCAAGAAAGAAGAGACAGAAACAAATTGTTAAGAATGTGTCCTAAAGTAAGAATAACCACAAACAAACCCCTCTGCCATTAAAGAAATATATAGACTGACCTTCTGACCTTCCTCCTTAATAGAGAAACATAAAAAGACGCTCTGTTCAACCAGAAGTTTTCTGCTCTTTTATAGAAATCTTTCATACCAGTAGCAGCTATTGTCTGGAATGTGCAATTTCAAAATGTTGTTCATTTCAAAAAGCACATTTTTAGTCATATTTTCATTTTTTCCTTCTCGCTCATAGAAAACCTCAATTACTGTATTAATCAGCATTTCTCAGGCAGCTCTCTCTGCAGCAGCTTTCAGCCTGGCAACAAATCATGAATGGCCCTAACAGCTCTGATCTCAGAAATCCCCATCCATTTCCTTTGATGCTATCACCACTTCAGCTCAACAACAAGCCTGCGCAATTCAGCCTCAGCTGCCGCCGCTGCTGCTGCTGTTCTCCCTGCGCCTGCTGTAACTGCAAGGGGAAGGAGGAGGGAAGGGAGCTGGCTCTAATAGATGAAACTTCTTTAGAAAGTTGGAGGGGAGATAAAATGCACACAAGAGATTAAAGCGGAGTCTCATTTTCACATCCTCCCCTTCCCCTTACCCAAACAAGGTCAGTGGCAGATTGACCACATCAAGAGTAACTACCAGACCCACCCCCATTTCCCACTTCCTGCATGTAGGCATCCTTGTGCTGGTAAACATTTGGGGACCAGTTGTGGTCATTACTCGGAGAAGGTACACGATGTAGTTGCACGACTGCACATCTTTTAAAAGCCAACTGAGAAATCAAACTCAAAGAAGAACTTGCTTTCAAGTTCTGCTGAGATACACTCGTGTTTTGGGGCCACGTTTCTGAAAACGCAGTTGCTGTCAGATTCAAGGGAAAGAGAGACCCAGCACGCTCTAGTGACGGTGCAACAGGAAAAGTTACAGCCTTCTTCTCACAGACTGGCCTGACCTTTGCAAAACACAGCCTATGGGCTTCAGATACGATCTCAGAGGCTTTGTATGCCCTTGACGACTTCAGTACAGTATTGCCTATAAGGAGAGAAATTAAAATTGCACTTGAATCTACATGAAGGTTTTTGCAAGGGCGTTTGGGGTGGTGTATGTTGTAGCCAGGAGGCTTTTGAATTAACACATGCAGCTTTCAGGGACTGCCTTTAATTAAGGAGCACCCTGGTCATTGCCTCGTAGCACTTCCAAATGCCTTTACGTTTATTTTTGTCTCGGCTGCGCAATACCAAGAGCAGATCTTTTGGCTGCACTGTCGGCTACTGCCCAGTGCAAGCCTTAACATCTCTTTTGGTTTCTGTTGTTTTATCCTCTCGAGAAATTTTCCTTAAAAAGGGAAAAAAAAGAGTCAAGGTAAAACACCATATTCCTCTTTGTTTCCAGCTAGAATGCTGCTCAGATGACTTATGAATAAGCCAAAACAACCCTCCTCCAATGGAAAAAAACATTCTTGCAGCACACAGAAGCGAGAACTAAGCTTCAGCCATTTCCTCTTGTTGAGGCTCGGGTTTGAGAAGAAGGAGCCGAGGCTGGCTGGGCCTGCTATCAGGAGGGCAAGGAGTCACCGTGAGAAGGTGGGCTTCTCTGCTGTGAACGCAGCCGAGCAGCAAAGACAAAACAGTCTGAAGCCAATTGCTCTCGTGTCCCAGGAAGCAAGCTGGGGCGAAGGTATTGAGAAAGCAGCCGCAGCAGAGGCTTTGTCACTGCTTTGGGAAAGGGCAGCAGACTTCAGAGTCCGGACTAAACGTAAAGAGACATCTCCTTGTTCCTTATGATAAGCGAAATGCCTCACAGCAAAGACCACAGATGTTCTCCTCTTGGTTACCATCAGCCTTCTCATCACCCTTCTGAGCAACGGTGGTCTTGGGCAAGGTAGGGATGACAGCCAGGAGCCCATACAACAATGCTTGTATTGTCTTGGCATGTTTCTACCAACCCAAGTTTATACCAGACAAGAAAACTTGAGCACAGAAATCAACCTTCCACATCCCAAACACGGACTTTTGAATATTCTGTCCGTAGCAACTGAGTCTGAGGAAAAAATGAATGAAAACAGGCCAACTCATTCCAACCCCCTTCCAAACTTACTGGTGACAGAAACCTGAAAGATGGGTGTGCTTTGGGGAAATTTCCTTTAAAATAGGCCGATTTCCAGATTGTTACGGAGGAGGGACGGGACGGGATACATTTATTAGAAGGCTCACTCCTGCGAATAGTTCATAGACATCATCCCTGCAACAAGCTCACAACAGTCTGAAATAACGAAGCCACCTCAGAGCTAACTGCATTATTTCAGCTTCCATGCCTCTTCCCAGCTTGGCAGTCATGACACTTTATGGCGTGTTGTCTCCTCAACCTGCCTGGTAAGTCACAGCGATACGAAGCACGGTGAAACTTCGGACCCTCTTCCTGCACAACTGAGTTTTCATTTCAGGTACTCTCCAGGCTGCCCAAACTCATGGAGCTGACGAACACCGCAGAAGGAGGGGGAGATCCACGGGTGG